GGGGCCCTAGCAGCCCTAGCATCCTCCAAATTGCCGGGTCCTGCCTACTGTGCCTGATGCTTTGTTATGTGCATCGTGTGCCCGGGTCTACGACATACGGATCTTTGTCTGCACCTCCAGAACTCCGGAGACAGCAGGCTCTTGCCGGAACTCGGTTTACAAACTCACGAAAGAGGCAGAGACCTTGCCTTGGAGTGCGCATCAGCCGGGGCGAGGTGGCCGTGGCCTTGCAGGTTCTGGCCGGGCCTGCGTGCCGCTTTGCCTGGGCAGAGCAGAGCAGCTGATGTTTGAGGGAGTAGTGACCCGAGTCTGTGTTGAGCACTGCGTGCCTGTTGGCCTTTGCTGGGTGGGTCCCAGCGATGAGGTCACGATGCGTTTATACACTGACGTCCATCGCTGATTGCAAGTGCTTGGTTCTTCTGAGGATCATCTGCTGCCTCAGTACCCTTCGTGGGGCAGGTTGACCATTCTCCACAAAAAACGAAACAACAACCCGTTACACAGGAGATGGTGGTCTGTCGGGGGGGGGGAGGGGGGGGCGGGGCAGGACGGCTCCAAATGAGCCTTCCCCAAACATGCAAAGCGAAGCTCCGCCGAGGCTTGGACGGGAAAAGTGCGCATCAAGGACTGCTGTGCCGTTTTCCGGGCAGAGTCGGACGTACTTGCATGCACAGTAGTTCCCGTGCCAGAAGCTCGCGTCCGAGCTGACGACCAACAGCGGCACCACCCGTCTAGAATTTGCAGGTGAGGACATCACGGCGGAGGACTGCAAGGTGCGGTGCCCACAGGGACATTGCAGCCTCAGACCCGTCTGCACGCAGTTGACGATCAGCCGCACATTCACCAAATCGAGTATTTAATGTCTTTGTAGCTTCAACTTGAGTCCCGTCGCGAGGCTCTCGCAGACGTTCCAAATGTTCTGTTTTCGGATGTAATTTGCAGTCACCTACCTTAAACTACCAAAACCTACTTTTTTGTAGGTTCTTAATATCAACCCTATGGAATTAATAGGGACCCTACAAAAAGTAGGTTTTGGTAGTTTGAGGTATCAACTTTGGTAGAAACCAAGCCGGAGACGATGAGCCCGGCCCGGTGTTTCCGCTCAGAGGCACTGGCAGATGCCTTGCAGTCCAACTGCGCGGTCACCCACGTCTACCTCAATAACAGCAAGATCGGGGACGAGGGTGCCAAGGCCAGGGGGTGCCCATGGGGTCTTCGCAGCTTGCAGTTTCGACCCCGCTTGTCCCTGAGAGGCGCTCGCAGATGCTCTGAAATCAAACAAGACCGTCACCAAGATCGACCTCAAAGCCAACGACATCGGAGACGAGGGTGCCAAGGCCAGGCGGTGCCCATGGGGTCTTCGCAGCTTGCAATTTCGACCCCGCCCTTTCTCTGAGAGGGGCTCGCAGATGCTCTGAAATCAAACATGACCGTCACCCACGTCAACCTCGGAGACAACGCGATCGGGGACGAGGGCGCCAAGGCCAGGCGGTGCCCGCGGGGTCTTCGCAGCTTGCAGTTTCGACCCCGCTTGTCCCTAAGAGGCGCTCGCAGATGCTCTGAAATCAAACAAGACCGTCACCAAGATCGACCTCAATAACAACAAGATCGGAGACCAGGGCGCCAAGGCCAGGGGGTGCCCACGGGGTCTTCGCAGCCTGCAGTTTCGACCCCGCTTGTCCCTGAGAGGCGCTCGCAGATGCTCTGAAATCAAACAAGACCGTCACCAAGATCGACCTCAATACAAACAGGATCGGGGACGAGGGTGCCAAGGCCAGGCTGTGCCCAGGCTTTACAGCTTGCAATTTCGACCCCGCGTTTCCGCTGAAAGGCACTCGCAGATGCCCTGAAATCAAAAAAGACCGTCACCGACATCAACCTCGGAGACAACGCGATCAGGCACGAGGGCGCCAAGGCCAGGCGGTGCCCACGGGGTCTTCGCAGCTTGCAATTTCGACCCCGCCCTTTCTCTGAGAGGGGCTCGCAGATGCTCTGAAATCAAACATGACCGTCACCCACGTCAACCTCGGAGACAACCCGATCGGGGACGAGGGTGCCAAGGCCAGGCGGTGCCCGCGGGGTCTTCGCAGCTTGCAGTTTCGACCCCGCTTGTCCCTAAGAGGCGCTCGCAGATGCTCTGAAATCAAACAAGACCGTCACCAAGATCGACCTCTATGGCAACAAGATCCTCTATGGCTACAAGATCGGAGACCAGGGCGCCAAGGCCAGGGGGTGCCCACATGGTCTTCGCAGCCTGCAGTTTCGACCCCGCTTGTCCCTAAGAGGCGCTTGCAGATGCTCTGAAATCAAACAAGACCGTCACCAAGATCGACCTCAATAACAACAAGATCGGGGACGAGGGTGCCAAGGCCAGGGGGTGCCCATGGGGTCTTCGCAGCTTGCAGTTTCGACCCTGCGTTTCTTCTGAGAGGCACTCGCAGTTGTCCTGGAGTCCAATCGCACCGTCACCCACGTCGACCTCCGATCCAACCAGATCGGAGAAGAGGGCAACAAGGCCAGGCGGTGCCCACAGGGTCTTTGTAGCAGTTTCGACCCCGGCTTTCCTGTGAGAGGCACTCGGAGATGTGCGGAAGTTCAACCATGTTGCCGTCGTGAAGACGTAGTTCTGAGGCCAGCACTTTGGTGCATCAGTCGATGCTGCGGAGCACAGGGAGTAACGTAAAAGAACAACCAGTAGTGCCCGCCGGGGCCTGAATCTAGTAACAGCATCATAATATCATACTCACTACTGTTATGTAGTACTATATTCTAATATAATGACTATATATATATAATCAGTGTATCCGTATAAGTAATGATGAAGTACCCAGAAGCCGATCACTGAACCATGTCATGTCAATTTCTGAAACCACTGTCGCAGTATTCAGGTCCCGATCTTATCTTGGGGCAAGGCCCATGCCCCCAGGTCTTTCCCACTCAAGGTTTCTCCCTGGGCCCAAAAGAAGTTTCGCGCCAGAAGCTCTGGAAAGTCGGTCTCGTTGAGAATCCGATTGCAGCTTCTGCTGAGGGACTACACGGCCAAAAATCTCAATACCGCCGGCTTCCGCATCGCTCTCGCCTTGTAAACTTAACCCTAAAAGCCCTTTTGCGCCAGCTCCGCCAAGTCGCGTTCCTGGCGAGTCATTTCTGCATCATAGCGGCTTCTCAAGACAACGCTGCCTAGTGTGCGAGGCGGAAGCGAGAAAGGGACTGTTTTGGCCGTTCAATGTAGGAGACTAATGGAGACTATAGATACCATGTGCGGGGTGGCTCTTGCATTAAGCCTGTAATTATACTTCTTGTTGCAGTTATGGTACGATGTTATGATCCACCTCTCGAGGTTTGGGTCGGGGTTGAGGGTAGATCTCGAGCTCCCAGTTTCACTCGTAGCCCGTCGCAGCCAGACCAGAAGTACCAGGATGCGGCCGCACCAGTCTGGCAGATGGGTTTAGGAAACCCTAAACCCTAAACCCTATGAACCCTAAAACATACTCTTTCAAACCCAGCAAGACTGATGATGATTTCCCTAGACCGTCAACCTACCGCAGACTCTTCGCAGCAACCGGTGCTTCGTAATTCACTTTGCGCATTGTGTGATGCGACGGCCGTGCCACCCAAAAGAGCTCATGTGCACGCAGGGTTGAGGGTTTCGGGTTTTGTATGATATTCTTAAAGCATAACTAAACCCTGAACTTTAATCTTAAAGCTCGATCGGCCTATAAATCCTAATTAAGCCCTAAGCCGGTGTTCCCTTACAAAAAGCGCTGAGCACCCCAGAAACCCGGAGCTCCCCCACCTGCAGCCCTGAGAGCGCGCAGGTCCCTGAAAAAGCAACCGGGGCTTTGGGGCCTCCGGGGGGCTCTGGGGCTTCCCGGGGCCCTTGTAGGGTTTTAGGGGGCTCAGGGTTGAAGAGGCTTAGTGAAGATAGCCAACGTCGCTTACAAGCAGTGCAGTCGAAGCACAGCCATGGGCGAAAGCTCACTTTGATCGAATTTTTCCCCTCAGCAAACAACAAGCTTCGATCGTAGCCCTAAGAATGTACAAGTTGGGCTCTTCGAGGCTGCTTAAGAGTGTCATAGTTACTTCCGCCGTCAAGGCGTGCTATACATGGCCCAGGGATCTAACTTCGTAGCCTTTCCCTAGGATCCGCATTGCAACGGCGTGGCACATGACAACCGCCAAATCCAGCATGCCATCACTGCACAAGCCAATTCCATATTTCTTCACTCCTCCTTGGCCCATCCGTCAGGTTTGGGACATCCGTACGCTTTGCCCCGACGTTGCCAAAGTAGTGTTGAACAATTGCTCGTACTCCCTCGCTCGTTCCAGGTCCCTGCCGTAGTCAGCTGACTTATCAGGATCCTCCGATGCCCGATTTAGGCAGTACTGACAGATCCTGCGCCTTTCAACCTTGGCTTTGGTTCCACGATGTCTAAATGCATGACAGTCCCCATAAACATGATAGCAGTCGTTCTCTGGCACATAGAACGTAGCTTCTGGAGGCTCATGCACATATCGCAGAATAACCCTGGTTCCCGGAGTATGCACGGAGGAGAACGCCGACGTCTGAGTTGACTGATTAGAGGTCTCCTTCACCCCCTTTGCCAACCTACGCAACAACTGTAGCTGCTCGATGCTGCTCGTCACGATAGGCTTCTTTGCTGGCCTCTGATCTCAACCCTGCGCTTTCTTGAACATCACGTCGAGCACGGGGTGGATCTCGTTGTTGCTCCGAGTGTTGAAGTCCTGCATCTAGCGCTCGCTGCACCGGTGGACTCCCACCCCTCTGAGCCGTTTCACGCTGAATAGCCTCTGTTGTAGCATCCCTCAACTTCTGTAGCCTGCGCAACCGTCTCGATCTTGCTCCAGGAGACGCCCTGTCATAGATCACCCAGACCAGCCACTTAATCCCTTCCCAAAACACCAGGCATCCCAAAACCAACAGCCAAAGAATAACCGAGGTCACCAGGCCATAGTCCACTGAGACGCCACTCCCATGCACCATCACAGCATCATCTCTGACAGATTCACCAGTGGTTGCTTGGGATAAGAGAAGAAGAGCCACTAAAACCTTAGGGAGTGGGCTAGGGTGTTGTTGGCTGCTGCTGCTACTGCTGGGGCTTTGCTCCTCTCGAGGCTCAACTTGTAAGTCTAGCTCATCATCGTTCACCAGACCAATCAACGAACTCAAAGACCGAATCCGTGCCGACGACAAAGGCTTTGTCAGCATATCCGCCGGCTGCACATCTCCACTGCAATGACTGAACACCACGGTGTTGCGCTGAATCAACTCGCCAATCCACGCACTCTTCAACCTCAGGTGTCTTGTACGCCAACTGCATGAACCATGTGCAATTGCAAGTGCTGACGTACTGTCTGACTGCAAATAGATTGGAAACCAACCAGCACCAATATCGGCTAAGATTGCTTGCATGCCTTGCAGTGCCACCAGCCCTTCAGTCGCTGCCTCAAGCTCTGATTCCGCTGTACTCAATGTGATGCAGCTCTGCCTCGAGGAGCGCCAGGCAATCGTATTACCTCCCAACTGAATGAGCCATCCAGTGTGTGAGCGATTGCCATCTGGAGCAAACGACGCGTCGACAAAGCATACGAGGCTGGAACCATTGCCCTCATAGATAAGTCGCCTCCCTGCTGTCCTCTGCAAAAAGGCCAACGTCTTTTCCCCTATCTCAACAGCTCGTCTTGGAGCCCTCGTAGATAGAGAACCAATGAGGGAACATACAAACGAGATATCTGGGCGCGAACGCTGACTGATCCAGAGCAGTTCCCCAGCCACTTGCTGTGCCTCTGTCGCAGTAAAACTCGCCAGATCTTTTGACAACGGCACCAGGTCTTTCCTCTTTGCTGATGTCCCATGAAGTCGCAAAAGCTCCGCAATGTAAGAATTCTGCGACAAAGCAAACCCGCCTGCTGTGCGAGCAATTTCTATCCCCAGGAATCGCAAATCGCCTTCGGCAGCCAGCTGAAGGGGGCTCGTTTTCCACAACTTGCGGATAACTTCGGCGAGCTCTCGAATGAGGCTGGTAGGGCCACATATCAAAATGTCATCGACATAGACGACAATGAGCCCGATCAACACGGACCCCTCTTCCTGCAAAACCTTCCACCAAGAAGATTCTACCCGTCCTTGAGTTAGAATGACTCGCTTACCGCCCACCACCAGCTGAAGTTGTGCCAACTGCTCATCTCGATATGCTGACCAGAGTCTGGGTGATTCTTGGAGTCCATACACCGCATGAGTTAGCCTCCAAAGCTCGCCTCGTTTGCAAATCCCGGCCTTGATCAAAATCTTGGGTGGCCTGCCATAAACCAATGGGGCGTTCTTTACAGCGTGCAACGGTGTCTGAAGGAATGCCGCCACAATGTCAATCATGCCCAAGTCCCACCCAAAGTAGTTTGCAAGGGCGATTGCTGCCCTGACAATCTCCGCTGGCGCAGTGGACGCAAACACATCCTCAGGCTTATGCGTGGCAAGATTGCCACACACCACTATCCGCGCCTTACGTTTGAAGTAGGCCGTTGCGTCTGCATCCGGCGGCTTCACTGTGAACACCAGCTTCATCGGAATAACATCTGCTCTGCCTGAGCCCACATCTTGTCTAACCACCTCATCCTCCTCCATGACGCGCTCGACTGCGTGCTCCAGTGACCCCGCTTCCTTCACAATCGCAGGCATCCATTGCTCCAGGTTGTTCGCCGCTTCAATGGGATTCACCGTATGCACAATGGACAATGGGGCTGTAAGGCCACTCAACAGCTCTTCAATTCTCTGCGTATAAGCCACCTCAGTCTTGCAAACCAGAGGGCTCCCATCAGAACAAACTGCTGCAGTACTTACCTCAGCTTCACCATCATCGAGGACCAAGCGCATTTCCCAATCCTCCCATTCTTCACGGCCAATATCCTCATCCTTGCTGGAGTCCTGGATCATAGGGATGGGGCTCTTCTTGGACACTGACCAATCGCACTTAAATAGAAAATCGCCATCGGATGTAGGAATCACTTCACTCCAACCTCCTCCTCGAATTGGGGTTACCTCTTGCTCCACATCCTTGTTAACGGCCAAATTCTTTACCGACAAGGCGTTGATGTAGATCTCCGGCGTAGGCACTCATTCTCGTCAAGGGGAAGTGGAAACTGTAAATCCCATAGAATCTCCCTGTCCTCTCGTTTCACCGCTGCAAGTAGACCAGGAGTGTAGCCAACCAAGACCACTCGTTCCCCTTTCCAAGGTAACACGGCGTGGCGACGATGAGGATCAAAGGAAAAAACTCTCCCTTCTTGTAAGCTGTAGGCACATCCATATCGCACTCTGCCTTC